CCAAAGCCCTGACTACTCCCTCAGCCTACTACAAGCACTCCACCTCTCCAGGCACCCTTCCTTTGATTCTCTGCATTTAAGTTGCAGCCCAGGTGTTGCTTCTCATCATGGCTTCCCTGCCCTCGATGTGGAAGAGCCTGCCCCCACTCCTCACCAGCCATCACTGTGTCATTTTTCATCGTCCTAGAGCCTCTGCCATTTAGCTAATAAGTTCTTGTCTGTCCGAGTCACATCATATCCTACAACATAAAATCCTACAAGTACATGGCTTTAAACTTTTTATTTGTAAATAATTATAGACCCATGAAAACTTCTGAAAGTAGTACAGAAAAATAGAATAGCAATAGAGAAAAAGCAATTGAACCAAACTTGGTTAAAGAAAGGATAAACAGAATTGAAAACTGGCACCAGACAAAGGAGGAAGCAAAGATTAGATGAAAGAAGGGGTACCACTATAGACCTTATAGAAATAAATGTTTTATTTATTTTTAGATATTACTAGATGATAATAAGATATTAATATAATAATATATTATTAGATAATCTATGTGAAAGGGATAAATTCCTAGAAAGACAAATCACCAAAGCTGACTCAAAGCAAAATAAAAAATCTGAACAGACCAATCACAAGGAAAGAAAGAAGTTGAATTGATTATCAGAAGCCCACAGGAGAAGCCTGGGATGAGAAGGCTTCAGTGAATCCTGACATATCCAATGACCAACTGATGGTCCCCCTCACACACTAAGAAAATGTACAGGAGGCAGGAGCACCTCCCTGTGGCTTCTCTGAGGCCATATTGCTAAAACCAAGCAAAGACTTGACAGAAAAAAAGCTGTACAGCTGTGAGTGTTTGGGAAGAGCTCAGGACACTGGAAGTGAAGACCAGTGTGGGAGCCCGTGTCATACCCACTGGGGTGGGCAGGACTACACAGAAGAAGAAAACGGGAAAGCAGCAACTGAGGCCACGGAGACATGGCCACCTCAATATCACTGGTGGAAATATAAATGTTAAGGGACCAGCCACAGTGGGATGCAGTATGGCAGCCCCTCAGAAAGTGAAAGGTAGAGACACCCTGTGGCCTAGCAGTTCCAATTCTGGGTACACAAGCCAGAAAATGTGTTCATCCAAAAACCTATAAGTGTTCATGATAGCATTGGTCATAATAGCCAAAAGGTGGAAACAACCCAACTATACATAGACTGATGAACAGATAATGAAAATGTAGACTATTGCCCAGCCATGAAAAAGAATGAAGTATAGACTATAACATGCTTGATGAACCTTGAAAGCATCATGCTAAGTGAAGGCAGAAGCAGAAGGCCACATAGTACGATTCTGTTGTTATGAAACACCAGAACAAGCAGATCCACAGGCAGATATGAGCTGGAGCAGGTGAGGGGAAGTAAATGACTCTAGTGGGTACAGGGTTTCTGTTGGGATGAAATGAAATGTGGTAGGGAAAGATGGTGATACGGTTGTGTAGCCCTGTGACTATGTTGGAAAAAATCCTAGACTGTACACTTTAAAATGCTGAATTTTATGGTATATGAATTATAACTTAAAGCACAAAGGACAGAGAGAGGCCATGTGTTCTTGCCTAGCCCCACACCAAAGGAAACATACTCTGTCACTGTCATATAGCATTGAGAGCAGAGTCTGGACACTGGAATAACAGACCTTATGCACTTGTCCACATGCATGTGTGTGCCCGTGAGCCCATGTGGGGGATGGGAGGTTTGTGAAGTTACCAACACATTAAGGTCTAGGAGAAGTACATCACCACAAGGCACCCTTCAACTCCCACTCTACTTCCTCACTCCAGGTCCCTCACAGGCCCCTCAGCTCCCGCTGTGCATTCTCACTCCAGGATCCTTCCTGGGCCCTGGAAACTGATGTTCTGCCCTTTATCTCTAGACTTTGCTGTAAAGGGGGTAGAGGTGCAACTCAGTGGCAGATAGCTTTTGCAGTATATGTGAGGCCCTGGGTTTGAGCCTCAGCATCAGCAAACAGAAACAGAAAAAGCTACACAAACTGTGTAGAACTGGCACAGTACAGTCTGCAGACATGCTAAGGGTAGCTGGTTCCCTAGCAGAGTGCCCTTGACATCCTTCCAAACTGTTGGGTATTTTTAAAGCTTATTCCTTTGAAATGCACTAGTTGCTTACCTGGTATGAGTTCCAAGGGAGCCAGCATCTCTCCACCTATAGCAGGTGGATCAGTGTTAGTTCAATCCTGGAGCAGAAAGGCACCTTTGGTTTTGGACTTAGTCACCACTTAGACCTTCTGCACATGCTGGATGCTTTCTCACTGCCACCGCTCGTCTTTCCCCCTCAGAGGGTTCTTTTTCCAGGCACCACACAACAGGCCTGAAGGGTATAAATACTGCCTACACTGACTCTCTGTTTCCCTGATGACCTTACACCTCAGGTTCCTACAGGAGAGACTAGCTTGCTCACACACCCTTCATGAGGCTTCCATCTAGCTGCTCTTGTTTTCCCAGTTTCTATCACTGTCTAAACAAGGTGCTCACACAGGGTTCCTTGCCTCAGGCTTTGTTTCTGGGAGACTCCAAGCTGAGGCAGATCCTCACTGTTCCCCTGTGAGTGGGCAGCCTGAAGCAGGCCAAGCTATACCTTGGTCTTCTGGTCACAGTACAGTGGCCCCTGGGTTCAAGGGGACTGAGCACCTTGACAGCAGGGGAACTGTCAGAATCCTTGTCCTCCTTTCCCTGAGATGAGGAACAGGCACTGTACATGCTCCTGCTGGCCTGTGTCTGTCCAACATGCATTGGGCCAGTCACTGGCTTACTCCCAGGCCTTCACAGAGATTCTGTCTGTGGACAGGAAACATCAGAAGGCCCAGCTACTAATGAGCCCCTCAATTATCCACAGGTTAATATACTCTGGCTTTGAATGCCACAGTGCCTGCTTAGTCCTCCTGCCATTCCTCCCACTGACAGAAACATGAAGGAAAGTCAGTTCCCATCACTGCACCATGTGGAAGGTCAACTTTTCCTCTTTGCTCTTGTCAGGCAGCCACCGGGGCCTATCTTCAAGCCCAGCTCAGGGAAGGGGTGAGACTTAACAGCTAGATTTTGAGATGTGGTTTCTTGACCCTTTGCAGCTGCCAGGAACACAGAAAGTTCTAGCGCAGCTTGAAGAACTTGTCTTGAACTCATGTCCTCCCTTAACAAAGGCTGCCTCCTCCCACTGAAAGACACCACTGTCGGGAGACAAGCCCCCTCTGTTCTCCTCGCAGCTGGAGCCACCAGCCCTCCTCCCTGCTGTCCAGAGGCAGGCACGTTCCTGGTGAGGAGAATTGTTCAGATGGTCTCAGATACAGGGTGATGTTCATTTACAGTAAGGGGGTCCCCAGTACCCCAAAGCTAGATGGCTGTGGGGCCAGGCAAGACTTAGGAAGGAGATGAGGCAGTAGGCAGACAGGAGTGGTGGTGACTAGGACACTTGAGTGGCTACTCTGACTTCAGGCTGTACACTGGGCTCTAAGCCCAGCTGTATAGAACCCTGAGTGCCAAGCATTAAGAGTCGGTAGAGAAGCCAGAAATCTGCTCTTAGGGCTACACTGCCCTATTTTTTAGTATTGGCAATGAACTGGTCCTTTTTATTTTTTCCTTTCTAACATTTCCTGAACCCAACAGAATGCCTCTTAAACCAGATGCAGCTTACAGTCTCTTCTGTAAAGCTGTGAGGTAAGGACAGATGCTGAGAGACCGATGTCACTTAGCCACTTGATCAATCATGGGCCAAGGAGCGCCCAGTGCTGGAGTTCAGGAATGAATGAATCCAAGCACTCCCTTTACAGAGCTAAGCTGGTGTGACAGAACACAGAGATGGAGCCAGGTGTCTCGGAGACTAGAGGAGACTGAGGCTGCAGTCAGGGTCAAGGAAGGAGGGGCCACATCTCATCTGGCTGAATTTCCCAAGGATGAGAAAAGCAGGAAGTCCTGTGGGAGACTTGTCATGTGCAGGCGCAGAGTCTGCCAGTAGTCAGTTGGGAGCTGCAGCAGCAACTTAAAACAAAAAAAAAAAAACTTGTAATGCAACAGAAAAATAAAAAAAAAAAAAAAAAACTCGTAAAATAGCATTGTGTGTGTGTGTGTGTGTGTGTGTGTGTGTGTGTGTGTGTGTGTGTGTATGTGTGTGTGTTGTTGGTTCTCCCCTTCCACCATGTGTCCCAGGATCAAACTCAGGCCATCACCCTTGACAGCAAGTACTTTTTACCCACTGAGCACCTCGCTGGCCCAGCTGCAGTTTTTGTTCCTACAGAACGTAGACATATCCGCAGATGACAGAGGAGGTAACTAGAGTTGAAAGTCCTGATTTGGCTTTGCCCATCCACCTCCAAAGCTCCCCCATGTGAAATGGCATTGGTGGGAATACAGATTTCCACAAGCACCTGGCTCTGGTTCGCTCCACTCTCAAGGGCAGCTTTGGTGACACTCTGGCTGCCTCCTACCCTGACTGGGAAATGCTAACTAGAGCTCCTGTGCTTCAGAACCCTGAAAGGAGCTGAACAAATCCCCTGGCTCTAGCCCTGCACCATGGCCTGTCCCAGCAAAGGGCTCAGCCATTTCTTTCTTTCTCCCCTGTTCTCAAATTTGAAAAATTCTACAGGTTTTGACAGAAAATCAGAGGATCTGCTTGCCAGGTTAATAAACAGTGCCAGCAGAGAGACTTTTCAGCCCCTCCTGGCGTCCCTTCCCACCCCCAGTGCCCTCCTCAAAGCCCATTAGGCTGATTAAAATAAAGCCACTGCATTTTGAGTTCCATCTGGCTGGCAGCTTGTGCAGGGGACAGGGCTGGCTGCACTGTAAAGTACAGTGGAGAAAGCAGAAGCCAGCCCTCACCATGAAGATAAGGTGGCCCCTCCTGGCCCTTGGCCCTCTGCTAGTTTTCATTAGTCAGAGTCACTGTTCTTTTGTCCTGGAGACAGGCAGAAATATCCCTAACATCTGCCCTCTTCTTGCTGGCCTTTCAGAACAAGAAAGACCCCCCTGTGTGGATTTGCCCCTTCCACCCACCACTCCAGCTCTATTTTGTTATCCGCAACATGAGACAGCCTCAAGACTTCGGTCTGGCCAAGATCAAAGTTCGGAATTACTGGATAGAAGATGAGGTAAGTAGCAGGCACTCTCCCTAGATTACACAGCCAGTCAGTGTTAGACTGAGAATGTGAACTCGTATATTCAGATCCCAGGCACATCATTTAACCATTGCTTCCAGAGCTTTGATCTGCAGTGACCAGTCTGGAGAGCTTGCTAGAAACCAGACTCTGGTTCAGCAGATGGAACAGTGGTCTGTGCATCTGGCCAGCCCTGAGTACACCAGCCCTCCTGCAGTGTTGAGCACACTATACATAGCCAGGGTCCTCCTGTGGCTGCTGGGCCTGTCTGCTTTGAGTCCATCCTTCTTCTTTACCTCCCCCTGCCCTTGTCCTTCCTTCTCTAGACTGTCCTTCATGAATTGATTTGCATTTAGTTCTTTGCACCACGTGGACACAGCAGGGGCCGTCAGCCTCATGATACATTCTGAGGGTACCAATGTGAAAGACTCAGACTGTGCCCTAAAGCCACTGTGCTGGGACGCTGATAGACAAGGAGATATAGACATATCTTGGAGTGTGCTGAGGTCTGAGCAAGATGAAGCAGGGCATCGGGGGTCTCACACCAAGGTGCATGGGACCCCACAGGGACAAAGTAAATGAGGAAGAGCAGGGGTACTGTCATTCTTCCCTGTTTCCCTCCTCAGTCAACGCAGGGAGAAAAGTGGCTGTGCCTGGCCCTCATGTCTTGCATGAAGGACAGTAACACAGGTAAGGTGATGGGCAGGAGCTGATTTCCAGCCTCCATTTTGCTAGAGAGACACTAGGGTATGGTGGGGACTATAAATTGTGGCCAGAGAGGGAAGACAGCTTCAGTGAATGGTTGATGTGGAAGAGCTCCAGCCTGTGTTTCTGGGACTTCTCACAGTTCCAGTGAGCTTGGGACACTGACAGGAAGGTGATTTGTTTTGCTTGTTTGTTTACTTTTTGAAATAAGGTTGCTTTATGTAGCTCAGGATTGCCTGGAACTTAGTTATAGCCAAATCTGACCTTAATCTCTTGATCCTCCTGCCTCAGCCCTCCAGTCTGTCTCCAGGGATTCCCAGGGAGGTTCTGTCACAGTCTTCTGATCCTTCAGAGGAGCAAGGTTAAGCCTTTGGTTTGACATCTGAGCCTAATGCCCCTGTGCCAGGCCCTGAGTCCCCCAGCAGTACCTCCCCCTTGCTCATGCCAGCCTCCTGAGTGCCAGCTGCTGTGTTGCTGTCAGCCCTATGGTCACAACCCTGGTCCCCACCCACCCCTCCCATCTCACTCAGCTCCAAATGCCCTTTCCCACATCCCTATGTCAGATTCCTGGAAAACCCAGATGACACTTTCTCCAGGGGTCTGCCCCTGTTCTCTTGAACTACTTCTAGGCCTCATGAATATGCCCTGTCCTTCCAAACAGCACTGTGGCCTACAAGACAGTGGGGCCAAGGTCTCCACTACTGCTCTATGCCAAGGAGATGTGGGGGTGATAGACGGTTGAATGAGTTCACATTCCATAGCCAGGAGCTCCAGGTGAGGGCCCAAGGATAAGCGAGTTTAGAGGCAAAGCTGAGAATCTTCCAGAAGCACCCCAACACAATCTCTCTCTTTTCCCTATCCCTCTCTCTGCTTCCCACCCTCCATCCTTGCTCTTCCTGCTAGTTTTTTCCCCAACCCACCCTCCATCCACTGCTAGTAGATGTGTCCCTAGACCTCACTGACTGCCAGGCACCATGGGCCTAGAAACACACAAGGCCCACACAATCCCCACTGCTCTGTTCACAGGTTCTACTGCCCAAGCAGGTAACAGAAAGCTTTCTCTGGTTTCTGTTCTTTGAATTCCTTTTCTTTCTTAACAAACTCCTAAAGTTTGAAGGAAAACAAGTGTCTGGAATAAGCGAGGACAGCCCCAAAGACCTGTGAGCTCCCTTCCTCCCAGGCCATCTGGGCCCCTTGAGCACTCAGAGGCCCTGCTGCTGCCCAGCCCACAGCTCAGGCTCCCAGGCCTGCTGGCACTTCCTGGCAGGTGCTGGGCAATAAGATACAGTGGCCTTCCCAGGCCTAGGCCTGTGGCTCAGCACTCTCACTGAACATGCATCTCAGGCATATTTTACATGTTGAACCACATCAGGAAGCTGTGTGCCTCAGCTGAGATGGGCCCATCTTTACCATGTACTCAACCTTTCTGGGGCAGACAGAATACAGAAAGGGCTCAGGGCCCTCTAAGTCCCAGAGGAGCATCAGGGGCCTGTGGCAGGTGGGGGGGGGGCGTGGGTTCTGACACCCAGGGTAGAGTGAGGAGGACTGCAGTGCTGCTAGGCCACCGCTTATGCAACACAGTGCATAGCCATCTGTTGCCAGAACTTACCAGGGGCAGAAAAGCTCAAACAAATGTAGGTGTGGGTTGCTTGATTTAATATTCTCAGGAGAATGCTATTGCTGTATGTTTTGGAGGAGATAAAATGAGAGTTTATAGGAACTATAGCTCGGCCTGGTAGACACGGCTTGTTAATACAGTGTTTTGTGTATGGGAATCTGAGGAAGGAAAGTTAAATGGGGGAGCTAATCCAAGCAAGGCCTATTGAAAATAGAGGAAAGTACTAGAGAAAGGGGAGTTGTTTTGATTGGAAAATGTGCTTCCTTTTAGATCCTCGGGTTAGCATTTACGGTCTCCTTTCCCCTCATTAGGTAGCTTTCTGAGCATGAGCCATCCAAGGAGGGGGACTTGGGAAGAGAAGTAAAGAGGGGAGGCCACACTCGGTCTACACAGCACACAGTAGGCAGTGCAGCCTTCTGTGCTATGACAGCTGCCATTTGCCCACAGCCCAGGAGTCAGGCCCACATAAGACTGTGTGTGAAACTGGGTAACTGAATAAGGGGAACACCTTATTTGACTCCCAACTAGCTCTTGGGAGGTGACAGTGTCCCTGTCTTGAAGATGAAGAAGCCAGGTTTAGAACAATAAGCAGATGGTCTGTGACTCTTTGGCCAACTTATTGGAAGTGGCTGTGTGAAGTGTTGTCCTAAGAAGGGTCTGGAACCTTCCCTCTGGTTCATCAGGGCTCATTGGGGATTGACTGGCAATGTCTGCCTGGGGCTCAGGAGGAGGATGGGACACCATGTCTGCCACATCTTTTAATGTTCCATACAAAGAATGACTTACCCAGCTAGGTGTCGGGGACAGGGCTGGGCAGAGAGTATAAGGTCATATGGACTTCCTTTCTTCTTCATCTTAAGGTGGCAGCAGTCAGGGCTGGGGAGGGCAGTGGTCTCCCCTCTATAGTAGATGGTTGCCTGTTTGCTGTAGTTTAAAGGTAGATGGGGTCTGGTTCTGTGTGAATAGTGATGGGGGGTAGCAGACCTTTGAAAGGGAGGTCAGTGGAGCACTGCTTGGGATGGTTTGAATCTGGAATGTCACCCATAGGGTCATTGTTTGGATGCCTGTTTCCCAGTTGCGGGGGGCAGCTGGGTTTGGAGGGACCCTATAGGAAATGAGACCTGGCTGGTAGAAGTAGGTCACTGGACTGGAACTCTGAAGATTAGCCCAGCCCCTAGTCCCAGACACTCAGCTTCTGTTTGCTGTGGTGTGGAGAGCCTCTGCCTCAGGCTCTGCTGTAATGAGCTCTGCCAGACTGTCCTCACAGTGTTGAGCTGAGCCCTCTGAACCTATGAACCAACGAAAATCTTCCCTCCCATAAGTTGTTTCTGTCAAGTATTTTATCGCAGTGATGAGAAAAGAGGCCAACTCACCACTCTTGGAAGGGATTACTGCTGTTCTCATGCTGCCCTGCGCCTGCGGTGCTTCTCAGAAGAGAACAAGCTCTCTGAGTTCTCAACTTTCTGTCCTTCATGTGACCACTCACTCCCATACTCTCCTGAAAAGCTCTCAGACTTCAGGTTTCTATCTAAGCTGAGCTGATACCAGTGCCTTGCCCTGGAACCTCCAGAACTATAAGCTAAATAAATCCCTTTTCTTGATAAAGTTATACAACCGTAGGTATTTTGGTATAGTAACAGAAAACACAAATGCACAGTCTGAAAAATAGGCTTCTGTTAGAGCTCCATGCTCCACATGTTTTCCTTTATAACCATCTTGAACTGTCAGTGACAGGCTGTTGACAGACACACTGTCACTATCCTTACCTACAATACCACTTGCATGAACTACCTCTAGCCTGGGCATCACAGGCTGAGGCAGCAGTGGCTACAGACATTCTGTATGTTGTATACACAGAACAGTACTCACCCTGTAGTTTCTGAGTGAATGAATATATAGTGCATTTCCTTAGTGGTTCCATATGATCTAAGCCAGCACTGATGACTGGAAACTTGTGTAGTGATAGAAATGTACTGTCTGCCCTGTCTGGCACAGCACCCTATAGACTCAAATGAGGTGAAATGTGGCCAGTATGCCTGAGAAACTGCATTTCAAACTTGAACTGTCCTACATTTTGATTTAAGTATCCACAAGTAGGTAGTGACTATACATTGAGCTGCATGAGTTCCAGTGCTCAGGCTGTGGTAAGCAAACCGACAAGACCCTGTGTACATAGCCTGCCCCTTCGGCAGAAGGGTTGTGAACCAGGACACAAGTGAATATGTAATTTCAGGCAGGGCTAAGTGTCATGAAGACATTGAACAGGAGAGTGGAGGAGGGGGTGCTGGGGAGGAGGAGGAAGACCTTGGCTTCGATCTAAGAAAGAAAGGAGAGAGGGAGGGAAGGAAGGAAGGAGGAAGGGAAGGAGAAAGAAAGAAAGAGGAAGAGGAGGAGGGGGAGGGGGAGGAGGAGGAGGAGGAGGAGGAGGAGGAACAGCAGCAGCAGCAGCAGCAGCAGCCACTTCTGCCATGGGAAGAGCATTCCTGGTAGGGACATAGCGAGAACAAAGGCCCTGAGGCAGAACCATGCTTAGCAACTTCCAGGACAGAAGCCACCTCAGGACAGAGCCTCATGGAGACCCCAGACAGAGGTGGAACCACATAGTGTGGCCCTGAAGGGTTGGATCTTATTTGGCAAGAGGCAGAATAGAGTAGTAGTCAGAGCAAACGCC